AAAAGTATCAGAACTTACCAAGTCTATTACAAGCGATAGATACATCCTTTGCTGCTCAGAAACAAAAATCACAAAATCAAAACCACTTCCTATATCTCTAAACAATATCACAATCATTACCAGCTTACCCAAGGATTCTGCCAGCAATGGAGCAGCCATTCTTCTGACTAATGCTATCACTAATCATGTCTTTAAAACCTTCGCCCTTAACGAGTTCTGGTGCGCAATCCACCTCAAATTCAAATCCAGAGTAAACATTATAATTATCTCATGTTATCTTCTCCATGAATATGACCTCAGGAAAATAGCAGTTAAAACCCTAAAGAACTTTATCGGAGAGCACTCTAGTAAACACATCATTCTTGCAGGAGACTTTAACATGTATCCCTCCTCTGCCCCCCACATACGTGCTTACACAACAACTTACAAGAGACATATATATCAATATCTCCAAAAATTCATTGACATTGGTAAAATAACAAACAATGAGCATAGGTATACACACATTACAAACAACAGCGCTTCTAGAATTGATCAAGTATGAATCACCAGTAATCTGACAAGCAAAATACTTTCATATAAAGTTCAGGAACAAACGGCCATAATCTCCGATCATAAACAAGTGACCATTATATTGGATTGGTTTGAATATAAACCTAACAGAATATGTTTCAATACCAATATTTATCAATTCAAGATGCTACTCCAGAAAACATAAAAGGATTCAAAAAGGATATTAAACTCGCATGCCTAACAAGCAACACTCCAACCTGGGACTTTATGAATAACACCATCAAAAACTCTCTTGACAATAACATTCCAAAGCGAAAGTGCATGACACCCACCTGTAACATAGACCCTCTCAAACATTACTCCAGTGCCATAAGAGCTACCAAGAGAGCAATTAATGCATCAAAAAACAATAACAGTGAAGATGTCTTCTCAAGACTTCCAGCCATCACCTCATCAGCTTTACAAAAAATTACCAGTAATCGTCCCTGCACCAAAGATCTTCAAAAACTGCTGAAAACTTTAATCAAGGAAAAATTATTTAAATTAAATGATATTATTATTCAAGAAGTACAAAAGGGTATAGAATCGAATTATTATAGATTTTAAACCAGGCCTAAAAATGCTCTCAAAAAAGCATTAGGAGATCTGAAACCCTCTCTCGACCTTTCAATCCTCTTAGGAGAAGACAACAAACTCCATGATGACCCTGACAGGCTTGCAACTATCATATTCGATCACTTCAAAAAAATCCTAGACCCCAAACCATTTGTTATTAATAACGAATGATTAGCAGATTATGAACCACTGAACCACATCCTTGATAATGCCTATGATAATCTTGTTTCATCATTATCTATGCAGGATCTGGAAGAAGCCCTCACTGACCTTCCCAAACGTAAAGCCCCCAGGCTCACACTTATTCCTTATGAAGCTTGGATCCAAATAGATCCACATGCAAAAAAAATTATCTTAGCTCTATTCAACGACATTCTAATATCAGATCAAATTCTTAAATTCTGGAAACAATCAGCTATTACAGTATTACCCAAAAAACTTGTCTGGTCACACAATCTCACTGACACACACCCGATCTCGCTTATCGAAACAAGCAGGAAAATTTTTACAAAAATCACTAACGATAGACTTGCTAATTGTATTCTAAGACATAATACTCTCTCAGAATCCAATTTCGCTGGTCTCAAAAACCAAAGTACCACTGAATCAATTGCAATTATTAGCTCATGCATCAATACCGCTAATAATCTCAACAAGGAAATATGGGTAGCATTATTTAACATCTCCAAAGCTTTTGATTCTGTCAATATCACCAGCCTCAAGAAAGCAATGAATCGCATCAAACTGCCAAACAAATTCACCTCACTCCTCACCGATCTCTTAAATGAAAGAGAACTGAAAATAATAACCTATTATGAACTTACCAAACCCCTAAAAGTAAGCAAAGGGATCGACCAAGAGGAACCCCTAGCTCCATTACTTTGGACCATTTTTTATGACCCTGTAGTAACCAAAATATCAATTGAATACTCTTCAACCTCTAAAATTCTTGCTTACATGGACGATGTTGCCTTAGCAAGCTCTAATATGCAAGTCCTCCAAGAAGTAACAAACATCTACTGTTCCTTCTTATCTCTTAATTCCATCAAATGCAATCGCAAAAAAACTGAATTAATCACCAATCTCAAAACATCCAACCAAAAAAGAAACCAATTTTTCACAGTTGAAAGGGAAAAAATCTATCCTAGACCATATAAGGAGGGCATTAGATACCTTGGAGTTTATCTCTCAGGCAAATCTTCATCTTGTTCTACAAAAAATAAGTTATTAGAAAAAATCCAAAAGTTTACCAATGCAATTTCATCGCAAAAAGGATGGAATGGCTTAATAACTAGACAAGCTTCTTATTGGATTATACCAGCACAATTAGAATATACTATCAACACTGCAGTCCCATCAGATAACAAAATGGATATCCTTAAAAGGAAAATGAACAAACCAATTAAAGCAAAATTAGGTGTTAAATGTATTATTTCCAATAAAATTTTATACTCATCAGCAAGTCTCAACATTGTCAAACTTCAAAACCGTCGTAATCTCACCACCATTAAAATTTTGACAGTCAAACTCACCAATCCAAAAATCTTTCCCGTCACCTCAAGAGAAATCATATCAATACAAGCCACCCAAGCAATCTGGTACTGCCCAATTTGTTTTCCTTATTACTTTACTGACTCATGGATAATATCAGCAGCCCTATTAGTCAAGAGATATAACATCAGAATCTGTTCACTCCCCTGCCCGTTTAATCATACTAACCATGAGAACTCAATTGGCTTAAACATCAAACTTACAAAAGCAACTGCTCTTTCACTATATTACTCTAATATTAAAACCATTCAGAACACATACATATACAAAAGAAACACTAAACTAACTTGGGAAGAATTACATGCATACAGAGGACGAATAATACCTGGCCCTATCCCCAATTGGTTCTCTACTATCCCAAATACCTCTGTAACTATCTGCGGCGATACAACATTCCTCCTAAACAAAACAAAAATTAAATTTTGGACTTTTCAAGATAATAACTATATCAATCTCATCAAAGTACGCATTGACGCTTTTTTCTTCACAATTATTAAAGGTATCCATTATCAACTTAGCAATAAAAAAATAATCTTATGTTCATACCCAGTCCAACCTTGTATCAAGGAAAAAAATATTCAGGATCTCAAATCTGTCTGGCATACTACACGAGCAAACTCAAAATATTTACTCAACAACATTCAAGAACTTTTAGATTCTTTTTCATATGCAACGCAACCAATCCCTCAAATAATAATCATACCACTTCTCACAACCACGCAACCTTCCACCATATATCTATATCACAATTTAAGCAGTAACAACTTATCAGTCATAAAGCCTGATCTCACTTTTACATATACATTGCACCTCAACTTCTGGGCCGTTTTTTGGCCAGTTTTTTATCAAACTCTTACTGACATCTCACAGTTATCAACAATAAATATATATCTATATACAATCTCCAACACAAATGTCCCCGAGTATATTAACAGACAAATTAAAGTCCCCTTTAGTAGGATTATTAATGAATGTAATATTATTATAGCAGCGAAAAATCTTACCATTCTGTGGCACAAACTGAGAGACCAACAACCATCTCTCAACACCTCTCCCATAATTAACACCTCAATTCCCCATTGCTTCCCCTCAACATTCTCAACCTCGCCATTAATTAACAATACACATGCAACTAGCATAATATATTGGATCAAATTTATAAACTATTATATCAACTTGTTTGATATATTCCTTAGCAAGTCAGCTACCTACAAACCCTTATCCTTTGCGAATCTGGAAATCATCATTAAAGCTAACAATAAACTTAGAAACATTGATCAATTTAAATATAGAGCTCTATCCACCTTCAGGTCCAAACTCTTAGCCAACCAACTTTCAACTAGAGTCAAGCTTCACAAGCGAAACCCAGATCATTATCCTGACAACATCTGCCTTAGGTGTAATGCAGCTCCAGAGAATTTACTACATATCTTTTCTTGCTCTTATAACAAATCTCTACTCATTAAAAAGAAAACAAAAATTGAAAACCTTATTCTAGATTTCAATCCAAAACATGTAAAATCCACTGACTTTATTAACACCTTCATATTAACAGAAAATACTTTGCTTAACTTAGTCACTTGCAAATTCAATCTCCTATTTGATCTTTTCCAAAAAAAAAGACACTATTTCCAATTATATACTTAAAGTTCTCTAAAAGGCCTGGAAACAGTGCTTTGCTACAGCGACAACTTCACTAGCTACTGGAATTAAGTGGAAAAAAACAAGCAGCCCTAAATCTCTAAATTCAAGCACAAACAACATTACTATATTCAACACTATTACAACCTTGTTAAGTAACTCACACAATTATATCCATAAATTAATTTTTACTCCAGCAATAGTATCATCGTTTTGAATAGGCATTGGCCATTCAACACTATTGACATGAGTCCACCTTTGAGGTGTTAACTGGTATCAATAGATCTGTTGTGATATGCTACAATTAATTTATGATTGTAAAGATTGTTAATGTAATAACAGTAAATATTCTTATTTAAATAAAGTCTCGCATTTAATGCTTATTTGCGATAAAAAAAAAAAAAGTAAATATATTTCAACATTAATATTCTATTATTATTATAAGAAGAATATTAATTATAAAAATAATTATTACAATTTTGATACTATAAACATGATTTTAATTAATAGAAATAATGTAACTCAAATGTAGTACAAAAATGTATTGTCAGTATAAATCATATCAAATAGTCTAAATTTCTTTACTTATATTATTTTGATTCAATTTAATATTTAATTATCAATTCTATATATTATAATTTGTATAAAATAATTAATATATTAATTATAATTATTTGGTTTAATAAAAACCTTGTATCCAATACCAATTATATTTTAAAAATATATTTTTAATATAAAATTTTTAATAGAAATTAATAAAAAAGTGATTTTTTTTATCTTAAGATTTATATTAATAAATTTTTATTTTTTATTTCAATTAATAAAAAAATAAATAAATAAATAATTTTTTAATTTACAATTATATTATAATAACATGTCTTTATTTAAAAATTAATTAAAGATTTAATATAATTATAGACTTTTACAATACAGTTAATTAATTTTTATATAAAAGTATAATTTAAAGAACAATATTATACTTCCATAATTAGATTGAATCTATTTTATCTATTAAAATTATTGTTAACAGTTTATTATTATTGATTGATTTGAAAGTTCAAAATTACTAAGATTAAAAAAAAAGAGAAATAATAAAATAAAGAAAGAAGATAATTCAAGACTTATCAAAAAAATTTAATATTAAAAATAATTTCTTCTTAAAAAAAATCTATCTAATTAAAATAATTTTTTTGTTTTATTTAAAAAATTTTTTAATTATTACTTATAATATTAAATAAGTCAATTCAAGTAATTTTTTATTTAAATAAGTATTGAATTAAGATATTTCTAGAAAAGTATTAAAACTTTAGCTTTTATCTATTAAAATTTTGTTATTATTTAAGGAACTTAGAAAAGATATAGAAATTTGTAATTCATATTACTCAACTCTTTTTTTTTTTTATAGTCATACTGATTGAGTTTTTATTGAAGGATTTGTGGATGTATAAGATGAATTTTATAAGAGCAATTCTTATATCTTCTATTCTATACTATTCAATCTTATTTAATATTATTTGATTTTACCCAATTATAGATATCATTTTGTTAGCTGCCTTGCTATGCCCAGGTTACTGACATTCCAAGAATCCATCAGAGAACTTCTTTTTATATTCAAAAAACTAATTGGGATTGTTCGCTTCATGGTTTGTATACCTTATATAAGGTGTATTTCTTACTTGATATCCTTTTACTATATTTTAGTTTTTAGAAATTGGTTATTCTTTGATATCCTTCAGTTTCCATGTAGCCTCAACAGGTCTCTTGACAGCCATTAGTGAGTTATATTAGTGACTATAGTCTTTCAGTAACCATTTTTAACCACTCTTCAAATATGGCCTTGTAGAAGAATCCTACAGGTATCCCATAATGACTATTCAACTTCATCACACCTCGTTAGTGACTTGTGAGGTCCAATCTTTGATAATCATTAGTAATAATGATCTAAGATCTCCCAGTATGTGTTCGGTCCTTTCATTTTGTGGCTGGTACATGTGACTGAAGTCTCCCAGATCTCCCATAAGACTGGAGTTTTTGAGAAGAGGCAGATTTCCTTTATGAGACTAATAGGTTCTCGACTTTTATCATTGACTTTCTGATATTCTTGGCAGCTTGCACATATTTCAAGTGATAGGATGTCATGGTTTTTCTAGTGCTAAAACTGACTAGGATCTGTATGACCTGATTATTGATACCATAATCAGATGGTGGGATCTAATAGGTCATTGTATACAGGAGTGCATATGGCTTTGAGTATATATCTTGTACAATATGATCTATATTGTGAAAACCGTTCTTGAGCGGGATTGAACTAGTAACTCACAGATAGTGATCTGGGAGTATATCCACTGCACTATTGATCCACAGGTTTTACTCAACTCTTAGTTTTTTGATATTATAAATATTTTTATTAAAAAACTTGAGTTTTTGAAGTAAATATTTTCGAAACATTTTTTTAATTATAAATATTATTGGAATATATAAATATAATTAACAAAAACTTGCTGAAAAAAACTTTTTCCGCAAATCTCTCAGATCCTTAAAAATTTCCTTTTTAGGCAATTCGCCCAAGAAAAGAGAAACATCTATAATTAAAGACACATATTCTTGCAATACCAGCATACAACAGTCATTCTAGCACAAGACAATATTTCGTGCATAGCTCTAGAGCAGTAAATTGTTAGAAAATACATACATATAGCAACAACTTTGGCTTTTTCTCCTTTTTCAAGAAGAAGGAAAGAAACCAATATAAACTGATTCACAGTCAGAAAAGAGGAGCCAATATCAACTTCACCATGCTTGCAGCTAGGCCAGTGTAGGTTAACACCTTTTTTGATACTACAAGGAATCTTAAAGAAAGTAGATTTACTCGATAAATCAAGTAAATCTCAAATCCCTCAAGATCTAGAAGGACATCAAAGCTTCTCAAGATCTAAATAGCCTAATATGCATACCCTACCCTACAAACATCAAAACACCTAGTCAGAGTAATGTGAACATGTATATGTATATAGACCTGTTGTCAAAACAAGTTTGACAAAGATCTATCACAACAACATAACAAGGGTGAATAGATTTGATAAGATCTTCAATTATAACATCATCACAGGAAATGATTGATATAAACAAAACAGCAGAGATCTGTAATACAATATTACAAATTAGTGTAAATAAATAAACAATACTAGATAAAGAAGGGATAAACAATATGTGTCTGATCAAAACAAAATCAAGATACAAATCAAAATAGGGAATTACTAAATCAAGAAACAAAACATGTAAAAGATTTTTCTACTTCATATGATTTTAACAACACTATGTGATTTATTCCTTATTAGCTATTCTTATGTGCACAATGAATAAGATAGAAAAGATTCTAAAATAATAGATAATAGAGAAAAGGACATTATTGATACTCTAATTTGACTTGCAAGAAAGTATGACAAACATAATGAACTATGGGCTATACAACAAATAGTCAGACAGGGGCAAGCTACCATTCAAGTGGGAGAAGAAGCACCAGCCCCAGAAACCTATATGATACTTAATAGTATTATTGCAAGTATTCTAGGAGTAGACAAGATGATGTTTCATAAAGAATGAATCTTAATACAACATATAACCTACTTTTGGCAACTTGAGAAAGGAAAAGAAGAGGATCTGCTTCAGCTATATATTGAAAATGAACTTCTTGAATTTATTAAAAAAAAATGATATATCAAAAAATATAAAAACCCTTCTCATGAAGATCACCACTCAGGTAGAAAATGATCTAACAGTAGACAATAAGATTACAATATCTAATGTTCAAGAACAAGAAGAGATAGAAGAGGTAATGGAATTCAAAATACTAAGAGAAAAGATCAAAGAACAAAATATAAGTGAATATAGCTCATATAGTATAAGAAATAGAACTGCAAATTCTACTCTAAATCCATATTACATAAGTAAAAAAGGAGTATATTGATTAGGAGCCATGATAGCAAACATTCTAGGAAGCTCAGAAAAGGAATCTAAAGCCTATTTGTACAATGCCTTAAAACTATTTCAGGATAAATGAAGCCTTCTCTATAAAAGTTTCATTAATGGCAATAAATGGCTGATTCTCCACTTTAAAGAAGAAGAAAATCTCCTTAAATGCTTA